ACAAGAGTCGTCGGGCAGCTCTGGGCGCTCCCTGACTTGACAGGGGCGCTGGTCTACTTTATTGTGTGATTTTTCTCCGTGGGTGCCCAGCAGTCCAGTTGTAGAGCCCTGATGACTGAAGTCGTGGAATCCTCACCAAAGTGCAAGCTCTGAGTTCAGACAGAATCACTCATGAGAGCGTCTGCAAGGTGAATAAAAGGACAATGCTGAGGAGAGAATCTGGAGAGAATGCCACTGTCAAGGAGGAGTGGAAGAAGACCCTTGGGAGAGAAAGAAGGACGATGGTAACTCTTATTTTGTAGTTAGGGGGAAAAAAGCCTATAAAACGCTTGTGCTCAGGAGCACCTGGGCGGCCCGGTCAGTTGAGCGGCTGGCTTCGTCTCGGGTCATGATCTTGCAGCTGGTGAGTTCAAGCCCCACAAGAGGCTTTGTGCTGACAGCGTGGAGCCTGCCTCGGATCCTCTGTCTCCCTCTCTTTCTGCCCCGCCCCCTGCTTGCGCTCCCGCTCTCTCAAAAAATACACATAAAAAAAAAAAAAGGAAAAAAAAAAAGAAAAAAAGCTTGTGATCAGGCTTGGGGATTATTATAAAATTTCCTTATGTGTTGTAGATGTTAAGAGACTCACAAGGGACTCTCAAGTTTTGGGAATTAGTAGAATTTGAGACCAAAGAATCTCCCTGGCTACACCCATTTCCTCTGCCTCTGCCTCAGTATTTCAGTACACCATGCAGGTGTACTGAACCGCATGCTTCAGAGATGGTTGGTGCATATGTATATGTGAAGACGCATCATATCATGACATAGGTGGGTCTGGAGGCAACTTGAGAACACCCAGCAAAGGCAGAATAGAAAAGATAACAGGTCTGGTCATAATGTATTATATGCTTGAAATTTGCGAGGAGAATTGATCTTAAGTATTGTCACCATAAAAAAGGCAAATATGTGAGGTGATGGCTAGGTTAATTAGCTTGATTAGGGGAGTCATTTCACAAGGTATATGTGTGTCAAAACATCACATTGCACGCCTGAAATATCTTTAGTGTTCATTTGTCAGTCGTACCTCAGTAAAGCTAGAAAAATGATAACAGTTCGGGGAGTCTCGTCCTGAGTTCTAGATCCACTTCACCCGTGACCTTCTGTGTGACCTTGACAGTTGCTTTCTGTATCCTAATATGTATTCTTTTTCTTTTAAAAATTTTATTTAAATTCTAGCTAGCATGCAGTGTAATATTGGTTTCACGAGCAGAATTCAGTGATTCCCCACTTACATAGAACACCCAGTGCTCATCACAAGTGCCCTCCTTAGTACCCATCACCCATCTAGCTCATCTCCCACCCACCTCCCTCCATCAGCCCATAGTTTGTTCTTTATCACGAAGAGCCTCCTGTGGTTTGTTTCCCTCTGTTCTCTCCCCCCACTTCCCATATTTTCATGTGTTTTGTTTCCTAAATTCCACATATGAGTGAAATCATATCGTATTTGTCTTTCTCTGATCAACTTATTTCACTTAGTGTAATACTTTCAAGCTCCACGCATGTCATTGCAAATGACAAGATTTCATTCTTCTTGATGGCTAAGTAATATTCCATTGTATATATGTATACACCTCTTTATCCATTCATCAGTCAGTAGACATTTGGGCTCTCTCCGCAGTTTGGCTATTGTTGATAATAATGCTACAAACATCAAGGTGCATGTACACCTTTGAATCTGAAGTTTTGTACCCTTTGGGTGAATACATAGTGGGGCAATTGCTGGGTCATAGGTTAGTTCTATTTTTAACTTTTTGAGGAACGTCCATAATGTTTTCCAGAGTGGCACCAGTTTGCATTCCTACCAACAGTGCAAAAGCGTTCCCCTTTCTCCACATGTTCAACAACATCTGTTGTTGCCTGAATTGTTAATTTTAGCCCTTCTGACAGGTGTGAGGTGGTATCTCAGAATAGTTTGGATTTGCATTTCCCTGACGATGAGTGATGCTGAACATCTTTTCATGTGTCTGTTAGCCATCTGGATGTCATCTTTGGAAAAGTGTTTTCTGTTCATTTCTTAACTGTATTATTTGTCTTTTGGGTGTTGAGTTTGATAAACCTATAGATTTTGGATACTCACGCTTTATCAGGTATGCCATTTGCAAATATCTTCTCCCATTCTGTAAGCTGCCTATTAGTTTTGTGGATTGCTTCCTTCACTGTGCAGAGGCTTTTAATCTTTTTTAAAAATGTTTACTTATTTTTGAGAGAGGGAGAGACAGAGAAAGAGAGAGAGAGAGAGAGAGAGAGAGAGAGCAAGCGGGGGAGGAGCAGAAAGAGAAGGAGACACAGAATCTGAAACAGGCTCCAGACTCTGAGCTGTCAGCACAGAGCCCAACATGGGGCTCGAACTCAAGGACCGCGAGATCATGACCTGAGCCGAAGTCGGCCGCCCAACCGACTGAGCCACTCAGGCGTTCTCAGAAGCTTTTAATCTTGATGAAGTCCCAGAAAAGGGACTGGGAAGGTTGAGCTGTAAGATTGTCTTTAACATTCTCTGAATCAAATTCTCTGATCTTCCTGAACAACTTTGGTTAATCTGCCGACTGCTTAGATTTCTCCCCCAGTTTTATTGAGATAGAATTGAATATAACATTTTATAAGTTTAAGGTACCATACGCACAGCATATTGACATACACATGTATTTCAGAATGATTAGTGTAATAAATTTAGTTAATATCTATCACTTGACATAGGTACACATTTTTTTCCTTGTGATGAGAACTTTTAATAAGTACTCTTTTTTAAAAATTTAAAAAAAATTTATTATTTTTTTTAACATTGATTTATTTTTGAGACAGAGAGAGACAGAGCATGAACAGGGGAGGGTCAGAGAGAGGGAGACACAGAATCTGAAACAGGCTCCAGGCTCTGAGCTGTCAGCACAGAGCCCAGTGCGGGGCTCGAACTCATAAACCGTGAGATCATGACCTGAGCTGAAGTCAGATGCATAACTGACTGAGCCACCCAGGTGCCCCAAGATCTACTCTTTTAGCAAGTTTCAAATACACAGAACTTTTTCTTAAAGCTATAGTTATCATGTTGTACATTACATGTCCAGAACTTCTTTACCTTATAACTGGAAGTTTGCACCTTTGACCACCTATACTCATTTTTCCTCCACCTCCCACCCTGTACCTCTGGCAACCACAAATCTGATCTCTTTTTCTGTGAGTTTGTTTTTTTAAGATTCCATATATAAGTGAGATTATACAGAATTTGTCGCTTTTCGCTTGGCTTATTTCATTTAGCATAATACCTTTAAAATCCATCCATGTTGTTACAAATGGTGGGATTTTCTTTTTTCTTTTATTTAAAAAAATTTTTTTTAACGTTTTATTTATTTTTGAGACAGAGAGAGACAGAGCATGAACAGGGGAGGGTCAGCGAGAGGGAGACACAGAATCTGAAACAGGTTCCAGGCTCCGAGCTGTCAGCACAGAGCCCGACGCGGGGCTTGAACTCACCGACCATGAGATCATGACCCGAGCTGAAGTCGGCCGCTGAACTGACTGAGCCACCCAGGCGCCCCTCTTTTCTTTTTTTTTTTTAGTGATATATATTATTCCATTGTAGGTGTGTATATGCCACATTTTCTTATGCATTCGTCTTTTGATGGACACTTAGTTTGTTCCTCTTTTTATGCTTTTGTGAAAATATATATATATATATATATATATATCTTAATGAACATGGGAGTACAGCTGTCTCTTGAGGGTAACGATTTCATTTCCATTGGATATATACCCAGAAATGGACTTGCTGGATCATATGGTAATTCTAGTCTTAATTCTTACCGGAAAGGTTTAATGCAGGGCAAATGCATGACCCAATTTCATGACCCTTATGAAGGTTATTTTGGTTACTGCAGGAAGGATGAATAGTAAATATGTAAAAAAAAAATATGGGAGACCAGTTAGGAAGTGATTTAATTGGTTTAATGAATCATGGTGACGCCTTGGAGTGTGTGGTGATAGTGGAGATGGAGTGAAATGGTTGGGTGTGAGCTATATGTTGGAGCACAATTGGTAAGATTGGTTGTAAGTGGGGTGAGGGGAAGGAGGTATCAGGGGCATGCCTGCTATTGTTCTGGAAATAGCATGGGGCTGTTAGGAGATTATGAAATGCTGCTTACCTGTCCTATGATATGTGGGGCCTCAGCAGATGAACAGCCTCTAATCACCGAAGGCTACTATGGAGTAGTGTCCTCCGAGGAGAACCCAGCAGTTCACAGGGACCCAGAGGCGGAAGGGTGTGCTGGGGGAGAAGATGCAAAGTAGAAGGAACTGAGATTCTGGCGGGCACAGTGGAAAGAGTAAAGTTAGAGGACAAGCAGATTGGTTGGATAAAAGGAGATAACAGGCAGATGGAGTGAGAGAATGCTGATGTGGCTGTAGCCAATGCTCCAGGTTAGAAAGTGATCCTCAGGAGAGTGTCCCTTAGTACCCTCATGCTCCCTTGATCGCTTCTTTTTGGGGTGCTCCCAACTCATGTCTTCTACTCTTCCTGTATATATTGATTTTTGCTTTGCAATTCTTTTAGGAGTCTTTCACAGATCTAAAATCCCAATCACATCACAAACTTCTTGAAGTTGAAAACAGCAGTCCAGTTTATATACTATCTCTCTCTCTCTATATATATATAACTTTATATACACTATATATATATATATATATATATATATATCTCACTTTATATTCTATCATATATAGAGAATATAGAATAGGGCTGTTGATGCAGTGTGAATTCAGTTGCCAGCATACAAATGACACTAAGGAAGTAGATTTTCATGGTGAGATGTCATGTTCAAAGTCAGCCCTTTAGTTTATTGGACGGCTCAGTGGAGCAAGGAGATGTTCTTGTTCCTGAAAGGTTCACTAGCCATGCAGCTCCCCATGTCTAGAGAACTACATATAGAGTGACTGTCCTTTGCCTTCCAGTTGTCCCTTTGTTGATTGGTTCAGCAATGAAGAGCTTACTCTTGGTCCTTGTGGTCCTTGTCTTGCTCTTCTGTGTTCCATCAGGTAAAATGAAATCCCCTTCCTGTGCGACTATGAACAGTGAAGGGAGAGAGGGCACGAGGTTCTACAAGAGTGAAAAGAAAGCAGGACTTGGAGGAAGGAAGATGAAACAGGAAGGGATGAGAACAGAGATGGACATTCTGGGCTTTTCCGGAAAATGGAGAGAAGATACTGAGGACACATAACAGGAGGTGGTTCTTTCCAGTGAAGAAAATGGTCCTGGATTTTGGTCTGGGGAGTCTGTGATGTTTGAGGGGAAAGTCAGACTGATGATATTGGCATCACATTGGTATTTAGAAGACAGATAGGATTTGGGGACGGGAGGGTGGGGGGCGTTCCTTTAGGACTTTTAGAATTTGTATTCCTAAGTCAGTTACCCAGACTGTTTTTCACACATTTAGAAGCCAAGGCAAACTCGATGCTGAGCAGAATCAGAAAATAGAGCTGGTTGTTCCAGTGTTTTAACTTACAGCATAATGGGATACCCTGGAACATCATTGAGAGAATTCACGTCCTCTGGACAGAAACTAGCAACTTGATAATACCAAGAAGGGTCCACTTAAGTCTCTGAAGTGGAGGTTCTCAAAAACTGCTTGTAGTTTGCTGGGGTCTGCAGAAAGCTGCCCCAGACCTTCATATTCGAAAGGTGCCAGTTAAAGGTCAGGTGTGAAGTACTCAGAAGACAGGCCCAGATGTGATTGTGTTGAGACTACTGCTGCTGTTCTGGATGGAAGGACCTCTGGACAGTGTGAGCCGTGTTTCTGCTGGGCTCGCTTGTCCCAAGAGGGGTGCCTCAGGGCTAACGGGCACCTGACAGGCAGGTTTGCTTGCCAGTGGCCTTTGGTCATACCACATTGACTATTCTTCTATCGCAAAGGCCCAAGGGATGGTTCCATGAACCAGCTGGGTGAGACTGATAAGGCTTAGCACACAAAAGTGTATAGTTCAGAGGGTGACTCAGAGCCACCTGCACTCTTTTAAGTGGCCTTCCTACCACCCTCTCCATGTTTTCAGCTTCCAGAGTACCCAGGTGTTAAGGTTAGAAAGTATGGTAACCTTATGGATATAAGATGTGTGTTTCAGGTATCTCAAAGCCTTTCACACTCATTATCCCACGTGATGCTTTCATGTACTCTGTGACTAAGCCAAGACTGGCAGTAGGGTATTTGGCTAAAAATCATACAGAATGTTATTGGGATGTAGAGCTAGAACCATGGGCTTCTGTAATTCTAGGTCAGTGGTCTTTTGCTTCTTCAAGCTGAGGCTCTGATAATCTCCAACTACCTTGTTACTATCCCAGACCCCGCATGCCTTCTGGTATAGGGCCTCTGTGGATTCCTGGGACTACTCTGAGGTCTTAGTGTTCTTTCCATGGCAGATAGTCCCAAGCAGAATTTGCTGGGCCCTGGTACCTGCATATTGTCGATTAGTGATTCATGTGAGGGGGGCCCATGGGAACTAATGACTTATAATAGGGTCTCTGGGAAATGAGAGCCACTGAAAAACAGGCATTCAGCCATAACATGACTGGGATGTTTTGATCTTATCCAGTTTACCATTAAAATGTTATAAAGTACAGCCTTCAATCTGATTTATCTATGGTATCATGACCCTGCAGAACACTGTGCATTAACCCTTGTTTCTGTTGACAGTTAGAAGTGGACCGAATACATATATAAGAACAGCATTTTCTACATGCTGGGGAGGAAAAGGTGTTTGCAGGAAATTATGTGGAGGAAGTGAAGACTATCACATTTTTTGTGATGTTAGACGTCTGTGCTGCGTTAACAAAAAGCTTTTAGATGTACGGGTTAGAAGGTAATTGTGAGTATCTGAGGCTCCTGCTGACTTCCTCTGGGACCCAGATCCTTTTCAATGGTGCTATCCTAATAAAATGATGGTTTTAGTCCTTCTGTGTTTCTATGTCTGCTTTGTTTCTCTACCTTTAGAGGCATTCAGTGTCTCTCCTATGAAGATAATCTCTTGGTTAAATTCCTTGTCTTCAGGATTGTTCTTTTAGTTAATTTATTCCTTATTAAACATTTCCTAAAAACTTTTTTTGAAGTATATGATGCAATCAGAAAAGTTGCGAATCATAAATGAATACCTTAATGAAGTTCGTAAATTGAACACATCCACGTAACCTGCACTCAGATGGAAAAAGAATATTACAACATCTCAGTCACTACTAGTCCCTGTTCCACAAAGGATAATAATCTCTAGCCCAGCTTCTAATAGCATAAGCTTTGGCACCTATTTTTGAACTTTATTTTTTGCTTTTTTTTTTTTCAACGTTTTTTATTTATTTTTGGGACAGAGAGAGACAGAGCATGAACCGGGGAGGGGCAGAGAGAGAGGGAGACACAGAATCGGAAACAGGCTCCAGGCTCTGAGCCATCAGCCCAGAGCCCGACGCGGGGCTTGAACTCACGGACCGCGAGATCGTGACCTGGCTGAAGTCGGACGCTTAACCGACTGCGCCACCCAGGCGCCCCAGGTTTTTTTTT